GGCTTTCCCGCCCGCAGTCACACCAAGTCCTTGACCACAGTTAGTGTTTTCATGTTCTTTTAGTGAGCGGTGTAGTTTTTAGTACTTTGTAGCCTTCGCAATAAGTATTATTCATCTTTTGTGAGCAGTAAAACAGAAGTAATCCAGGTTCTGCTCTGAACTTTGAAAAACTTTTACTATCTTTTTGTCACAGTGCTTTATCAAGGCCTTTGATAAGGCTGTATCTTAGGCTGTTGTGGTTCTGATGAACATTGTTAGAAGCATTTTGTGAGTCTCTGAGAAGATAGATTGAGCATTTGCAGCAAATCACATAAACACTTAAATCCCCTTGTTTTTCCCGATGGTGTTTGCTGCTGCTCACTTCTTTATGTTTTTCGAGTACTTATTTGCTCTACTGAAGGCTTTTCTGGCCTAACATATTGCTAATACTCCAATCAAGCCGTGTTCTTATTTTTTGCCCCTTCGGTTCTTAGCAATTCTTGTACTCTGCACAGAGATAACGTCGTATAAAAAGTCACTAAAATTGTACAAGGGCAAGTAATCAGGAACAGCCCTTCTTTTCGGCAAGTATGAGATGTTATCGTATTTGCGTGTAGCGAATTCTTCTCTTTCATGACCTTTTTTCATGCTTTCTTAGACTGCTTACTCTTGAGTAATTTTAGGAGTATCAGCTTGCCACCATGTTGAGTTTGACAAGGGTCAACGCCCTGAGACCCTCCGTCTTGACATTGGCTATAAGGTATTCTTTAAGAGTCTTTTTCAAGGGTTTTTTTAAGTCGTCTAATTTCTATTTTTCAGAAAACAGTCCACTCAGAATGTCTTCGCAGTCATTATGGGTGGAGGAGTGGCCGGTAGTTCTGTAGCTTATCACTTGACTAAAAGAAATATCAAAGACGTGATACTGCTTGAGAAAGAAGGTCAGTAACATTTTGCTTATTACATTTTTTTCTCAATATAGGATTCATCTGCGACGTTAGCGGCGCTAATAAGGTTTTTTTCTGCTCTTC